ACTTTTTTAGAGATGAGGTCTCACTGTGTTACCCAAGCTGGTCTTAAACTGGCCTCAAGTGATCCTCCCACTTTGACCTCCCAAACTGCTGGGATTATAAGTGTGAGCTACCACCCTGGCCAGGATTGTTTTTTTAAGGCGATGGAATAGATCTCTAAAGAACTGATTTTAGCAGAGACCTGAATGACAAAAGGCGTTTAGATATTTGGAGAAAGAACTTTCCAAACAGATGCAGAAAACCTGGGGTTGGAGAAAGCTTACAGTTTTTGAGGAGCAACAAAGAGGCACCACCAGCAACATATGAGTTCTAGTTACTGTGCTATATCCTGGGCAACACTTCTGTTGTCAATCTTTTAATAGTTAGCCATTTTAGTGGGTGCGTAGTAATATGTCATTGTGGTTTTAATTTGCGTTTCCCTGATGACTAATGGTAAGCACTTTTTCATTTGCTTTTTGGCATTAATATATTTCCCTTTGTAAATTGACTGTTCAGGTCTTTTCCCCATTTTTAAATTGGGTTATCTTTTTATTACTGAGTTAACAGAAGTTTCAGTGTACATTCGGGATAGAAGTTCTTTGTCATATATATGTTTATATACATATATATATATTTTTTCTGCCAGTCTGTGGTTTGCATGTTTATTTTTTTTTAATTTTATTTTTTTATATATATTTTTAGTTGTCCAGCCAATTTCTGTCTATTTTTTTTTTTTTTTTAGTAGAGACGGGGTCTCGCTCTTACTCAGGCTGGTCTCCAACTCCTGAGCTCAAACGATCCTCCCGCCTCGGCCTCCCAGAGTGCTAGGATTACAGGCGTGAGCCACTGCGCCCGGCCTGCATGTTCATTTTCTTAACTGTGTTTTGATCATCAAAAATATTTAAATATTGATGAAATCTGGTATATCAGTTTTTCTTTTACAGTTAGTACTTTTTTTGTCCACCCTTGGTATTTGCCTGCCTCAGTCAGACTTAGCTTTTCATTTTGAATATTTTGGGAGTGGCTGCTGTGTGAAGAATAGACTATGAGACAGCAATAGTGGAAACAGGCCTGTTAAGAGGATATTGTAGTGGTCTAGGAGAAAGATTATGATATATTGGCTGTAGTGGTGGAGGCATTGAAAAGTTGCCTGGGTTAAAGGTTCTAGGCCGTTGCTTATTGAACGTGTGGTTTGAGAGACAGACATGGAGTGAGGCAGTTAGCATCATTTCATATTTTTGGTTTGAGCAACTGGATAAAAATGATGGTGCCATTTGCAGAATATCCAACACTACAGTTGACAGCGGTTGTTTCAAACTCTAAAGTATGTTTGCCAAGTAGTATGTTGTTCAATATAAAGTAATTGGAAGAGTTCCCATTATACAAGAGACTTTTTAAGAATTGAAATATATAGTCAGTCTCTCTTTTCTGAGAAAGTGTTTGGAGGAAATTTTGTTCCTTTTTGTACATATGGAATATAGTTGATATGTATTTTTGAAGCATATACTGTAGAATGGAATCTAGCATATAACACTTGATTGTTTCGATTTTAAAACTGCTGTTCTTTTGTGTTTTTCTATACTTCTTACCAGTTGAAACTTTTTTATGGATTTATAAAAACAATTGGCATTAGTATATTTTAATGGAGATGGTCTTTGATCATAGTACCTCAGAGCTACTGCAACACTGTTTTTTATACCTTAGAAAGAAATGTTTTCAAGCATTGAGGTGATTCTTGCCTTCCCTATATGCTAAGTATGAGTCTACTTTTGGGTATCAGGTTAGAATATATCTCAAGTTTTTGCCAGCAAAATCCTTTATTGTTCTAGAAGAGATTTCATCAGTATTCTGTGTATTCCAAATCTTGGACTTCTATTCAGATCTAGGAGCTAGCTTATGACTGTAGGAAAAATTTTGGCAATAGGAGTAGGAAGGGAACTAAGTTCCAGTCTAGCTGTTTAACCTTAGGCAAATCATTAACTTTTATACTTCACTTTCTTCATCTATAAAATGAGGAAGGTTTTATTAGAGGATTGATTAAAAGTCTTTTAAAATATGAAATTATAGTTTCTTCCTGGTTTTGTAAAGATTTTTATCTTTATAGAAACATGTTTAAACCATAGCGATATCAGAAATATTTGGAATCCTGTCTTTGGGTGATTCCATAAAAGAAAGGAGGAATTGTGGGCATCTTGCCTGGCCTATAGAATGTTATTTAATCTAAATCACTGTTACCCATATCAGCCTGTGATAGTTATGGCTCATGTGTCCACCCAGTCTCCCCCACTTAACAGCTTTATTAAGATATAATTCACAAGCCAGGCATGGTGGCTCACACTTACAATCCTAGCACTTTGGGAGGCTGAGGTGGGAGGATTGCTTGAGGCCAGGAGTTCAAGATCAGCCTGAGCGAGAGCGAGACCCCGTCTCTACAAAAACATAGAAAAATCAGCTGGCTATGGTGATGTGTGCCTGTAGTCCCAACTACTCGGGAGGCCGAGGCAGGAGGAGGTCTTGAGCCGAGGAGTTTTAGGTTGCAGTGAGCTATGATCACACCACTATACTCTGTCTAACACAGGTGACAGAGCAAAACTCTGTCTCAAAAAAAATTAAATAAATAAAATAATTCACATACCATACAATTCATCCATTTAAAACATACAATTCAGTGGTTTGTAAGTATATTCACAGAGTTATACAGCCATCACGAGAATCAATTTTGGAACATTTTCATAACTGTAGCAAGTAAGTACCACCAGCAGTCACTGCCCATTTCCCCTCAATCCTCCAGCCCTAGGCAACCACTAGTCTACTTTCTATCCCTGTAGATTTGCCTATTCTGGACAAATGTGTGGCCTTTTGTGTCTGGTTTCTTTAACTTAGGATAATGTTTTCAAGATTCATCCACATTGTACCATGTATCAACACTTCATTTCTTTTTATTGTCAAATAAAATTCAATTTTATGGATATACCACATCTTATCCATTCATCAATTGATAGGCATTTGAGTTGTTTCCATTTTGGGGCTGTTATAAATAATGCTACTGTGAACATTTATGTACAAGTTTTTACGTTGACATATGTTTTCGTGTCTCTTGGATATATACCTAGGAATGGGATAGCTGGGTCATATGGTAGCTCTATATTTAACCTTTTGAGGAACTGCCAGACTATTTTTCAAAGTGGCCTCATCATTTACATTCCTACGTGGAATGTGTGAGTATTCTAATTTCTATGCCTCCTCCCTTACACTTATTATCTGTCATTTTTTTTTTTTTTTTTTTTGGAGAAAGAGTCTCACTGTGTTGCCTGGGCTACAGTGCCGTGGCGTCATCCTAGCTCACAGCAACCTCAAACTCCTGGGCTCAAGCGATCCTCCTGCCTCAGCCTCCCGAGTAGCTGGGACTACAGGCATGCGCCACCATGCCCGGCTAGTTTTTTCTATATATTTTTAGTTGTCCGATTAATTTGTTTCTATTTTTAGTAGAGATGGGGTCTCGCTCTTGCTCAGGCTGGTTTCGAACTCCTGAGCTCAAACAATCCACCCGCCTCGGCCTCCCAGAGAGCTAGGATTACAGGCGTGAGCCACCGCGCCCGGCCTTATCTGTCATTTTGATTATAGTCATCATAGTGGATGTGAAGTGATATCTCGTTGTGATTTTGATTTGCATTTTCCTGATGGTTAATGATGTTGAGCATCTTTTCACGTGCCCATGAAAGCCACCACTTTGACTGCCTGGCTTTTCATTTGGGATGGGGAAGGGATGTGGGTGGAAGTTGGTCTGTTTGGTTCTTTCTCTAACATGTCAACTAAGCATCCTAAAATATAAGTTGAGTAAGAAGTCTCTTCTCACTCCTGATTGAGAGTAAATTGAAGCCTAATTTAATCCACACACCTGTTTTCATCTTATTTCTGTAAAATGTTTAACAATAAAGAATTTTACCAGAAGTGGGTGTGATTTATATCTTAGTTTGAATTGTTATGTATCTTTGCTGAGTCTTTCAAATGCTCATGAGTAAGACTGTAACATAGCAATATCATAGTCACATAGGATGAGAATGAAGCATTTCTGGGAGTCTGATAGAAAACCCTATCACATTTATAATAACCCTATTTCTGTTACATCGCCAAAGTTTTATGAATTTATAAAGATGTGTAATTATTTTTAAGGAGCATATTTAACTTAGGTCATGTAGCCTAAAATAGGTTAATTTGAAATTATACTGATGACACTCATGTTAGTAGGAGCTTAATTTACTAAATTAAGAATATTTAGTTTTAGTAGAGATTTTGCTCTTAAAAATGTTAATTGCTGCAGTCTGGATTTGGTCCTATTAGTCCAGTTAGATTTGTGAAGTAATTTTTTTTTCTTATTCCAGAAATACATGCTACGGGATTTAACTATCAGAATGAAGATGAGAAAGTCACCTTATCTTTTCCTAGTACTCTCCAAACAGGTAAGAGATTTGACTTTTGTAAAATCCCGTGGCATTCTTCCAAAGAAATTTATTGTATGTCATTTTTCCCTTGTTGGCAGATTAAGTATTAAGAGCTTTTCAAAGAGCTTTTGAAAGAGGTTCATTGCAGGTTTAAGGCCACCAGAGGTTTCTTCTAAGGAAGTTGGGCTGTAGAAAGAAAGGTTTACACCTTCTGTCACTCTATATTCTCGTTAAACAAACAAACAAACAAACAAAAACAACCAAAAACTATGGATCATTCTACTCTAGAATATGATGCATTGTTTTTCAGTTTTAGCTTTTTAAAAATACATTTACCTAGCTCTGTTTTCTACTAACTGAATCCAAATCTCTATGGTGAATGCTCCACAGATGATTTTTATAAACAACCAGAGATTAGATAGGTATTATGTTAATGAGGACATGGAAGGAAAGATTTACTGGTATGTTACTATTGTTAAGTATAAAAGCATAAAGCAAATAGAAAACTTTATGAGCTTAATATAGTGGAAGAAATTATATACAAATCAGTTGGTAAAACACTTAGACTTTGATATATGAGCAAATGAGAAGGAACAGACAATTCATAAGAAGAAAATGCAAATGACTTATAAACATGTGGAAAGATACTCAGCCTCCTTGTAATGAGAGATACCAAAACAACAGCTACTGACTGATACACCAGTTTTTGCCTGTCATGTGAACCGAAGCTTAAAAAAAAAAATTCTTAATGATGTGGCTGTCTTTCTAGTACTGGTGGCACTAAAATTTTTTTTTTTGAGACAGAGTCTTGCTCTGTCACCCTGGCTAGAGTGCAGTGGAATCATCACAGCTCACTGCAACCTCGAACTCCTGGGCTCAAGCGATCCTCCTGCCTCAGCCTCCCAAGTGGCTGGGACTACAGGCATGTGCTACCACGCCTGGCTAATTTTTTCTATTTTTGGTAGAGATGGGGTCTTCCTCTTGTTGAGGCTGGTCTAGAACTCCTGAGCTCAAGCAATCCTCCCATCTTAGCCTCCCAGAGTGCAAGGATTACAGGCTTGAGCCACAGCACCTGGCCCATGTAATTTTTTTTTTGAAAAGCAATCTGGCAGTATGTATCAAGAGCCTAATATGTTCATGTCTTTTTTTTTTTTTTTTGAGACAGAGTCTTACTCTCTTGCCTGGGGCGAGTGCCGTGGCGTCAGCCTAGCTCACAGCAACCTCAAACTCCTGGGCTCAAGCAATCCTACTGTCTCAGCCTCCTGAGTAGCTGGGACCACAGGCACGCGCCATACATATATATTTTTAGCTGTCCAATTAATTTCTTTCCATTTTTTGGTAGAGACGGGGTCTCGCTCTTGTTCAGGCTGGTCTCGAACTCCTGAGCTCAGAACGATCTGCCCGCCTCGGCCTCCCAGAGTGCTAGGATTACAGGCGTGAGCCACCGCTCCCGGCCTGTTCATGTCTTTTGACCTAGCAATTCTGCTAATAGGAATATATCCTAAGGAAAAATCATAAATACATAAAATGCTTTATACCCAGAAGTATCTATTGAGATATTACTTATCATAGTAAAAAATTAGAATTAATATTTGTTCAACACTAAGGAAATGACTAATTATGACATCTATAAGTGAAATATATTCAGCAATTAAAAGTGAGGTTTGTGAGTTCTTAACACTGTAAAGTACTTATTACAATGTACACTTGAAAAGCAGAATGTAAAATTACGTATCAGAATGATGAGCCATATCTCTAAAATAGTATAAATAAAATGATTATTATGTCTGAGTATTGACATAATTAGTGATTTTTATTCTTATTTATACCTTTTGTCTGATTTTCAAAATTTTTACACTGAGAATCTATTGCCTTAATGTAAAAATATTTTTAGAAAAAATTTTAATTGGAGAAGTTTTGTCTTTATTTCAGTGCTCTTGGAGGCCTTTTTATGTGTGGTTATTATAAAAATAAATGTTTCCCCATGAATATGTATTAAAATATACCAAAGAATATAATGTGAAGAAGACTTGAGATTCCCTTTTTCCGACCCCTTCTACTTCCACTGTCTGGTTAATCCTCCCAGAAATATTCTGTGTACATATAAATGGGTGTGTACATTTGAGCCCACAAACAGGATCACAAATCTCAGTGGCTGACAAGAAATATTTCTTTCTTACACATGGACTGTAAGGACTGCAGCCATATCACCAACTTTACTGAGCTCTACTCAGCTTACAGATCTTCTCATTTCAGGACCTGTAGTGAGCAGCCACCATCTGTGTGTGACATGCTATTCTCACATATGGCAGAGGGCAGAAGCTCAGGGATGGGGAGAGAGCCAGACCCCAAAGACACATTTAAGACTTCTGCATGATGGTGGTATACTTGATGTCCACTCATATTTCATTTACCAAAGCAAGTAGCGTGACCAATCCCAAAGTCACTGGGGCAGCAATTACCAGACCTTTGAGAAAAACTTCTGTTATGAAAGATAAAGCAGAAAGCAAAACAATAAGTATAATAGAAATACAGGAAATTGCATGCAGCAAAGACAAATCAAAAGAAAGTTTCAAAAAACAACTCTCACATTAATTAATATCCTTAGAGAATTAAGAGAAAATATTGCATTCATTGAACAAGGACTGGACAGACTACCATCAAGCAGGAAGAATTACAGTAAGAAAACTTTTGGAAATTATGATAGATGTAAAAAAACCTGGTAGAAGTTTTAGAAGATAAAATTGAGGAATCTTCCAAATAGTAGGAAAACCAAAGAAATGGAAAACAAAAATAGTTTTGAGGACCAATCTAGCAGAACCAACATCCGTCTAATAAAAGAACAGCAGGACAGAAAAAATGGGAAGAGGAATTTTTTAATTTCTTTGAACTGAGGAGGGCAAGAACTTCAGTTTGAAAAGATACACCATTAGAAGAGGCTAACTCAATAAATATAAAAAGTTCCATACATTTTACATTTTAAATTGGAAGCAAATTTTAGAACTTTTGGGATAAAACGAGACTCTCAAAGAGTTCCTGTGTGGGGTCGGGGCAGGCTAGCATATTAACTTTAAAGTTCAGGAATCAGAATAGCACTAGACTTACCATCAGCAATAATGGAAACTAGACTGTTAGGAAGCCATTCTTCCAAAATACTAAGTGAATCTGATTTTCAGCCTAAAATTCTATGCTTAGCCAAATGTTGAATTTACATGAGAGAATAAAATGAAGATATTTTCATATTTACAGGGTCATTGAAAATTCATTTCTTTGTAAAAGATACTGGCGTGGGGGATGGTTTAGCTAAAACTTCACTTGCTATAGTAAGGAGAAAATAATGTCTAAAATTGAAAAATTAAGAAATGGCTACATTATCAAGATATTTAGAAATCACAGGGTTTGAAATTGGTTGTTTTTAGGGGCAGGGTGTGGGGCGTAGGGTAGTGTTGGTCAAGGCCTGCAACTTATATATGTAAGCTTCGTAGTACTATATGAGTTTTAAACTATGAACTAGTACTTTGATAGAAATAAAATAAAAAAATTTTTAAGTTTTAAATCTGTATCATAGGCTACATTCCGTGTTTACACTATGAAAAGATTAGAAGTCCTAGCAGCAAAAGAGAAATGAAAAAATCCCTTCTTGTATATTTGGAAAAAATCATACCCATGAATAATTAGGAAGTCAAAGAAGATTTATCATGGAAATTAGGAAGTATTTAGAACTGAATAATGAAGTTACCACATCTGAAAACATGATGGATACAGATAAAACATTACTCAGAGAGGATATTTAGTTAAGAAGAAAGGTTGAAGCGTCCAACTCAAAGTTAGATAAAAAGAACAAGTAACTTGAGGAAGGTCGAGGAGAGAAATAAAAGATTTAAAAGTAGAAATAAATGAATAAGGAAGGAACAGAAATATTTAAAAACTGATTTTTAAAATAGTCCAAGAAGATATATAAACCTAGCAAGTATAGGAAAAAGATAGCATAGATTCAGTTGTTGTTCAGCATTAGGAAATATGGCAACATCATTCATTAAATCAAAAAATTAAAGATACTATATTTATCAAAAGAAATTAAAATGTATTTGCTACAATTCATCAGGCAAGAATAGAAATTCCTAACATGATAAAAGATATTTATTATACACACACGTATATATTGAGTGTTTCATCTGTGCCAGGTACTGTTTTAAGTGCATCAAAAATATTGTTTAATCCTTTCAGTAACCTTTTGAGGTAGATGCTGTTATCTTTATAAAGAAACTAAGGCACAAAAATTGTTTTTTAATTAATTTAAATATCTTGTCCAAGGTTACACAGCTAATAAGTGGCAGAGCTGGGATTTAAACTGAAGCAGTTTAACTTAAGAGTCTACACTTCTAACCAGCACATTATACTGTCTCTATTTTTAAAATTAAATATTTAAAAAACATAATACACATACATAATTTGAAATTCAAGTGCTATACAATGAAATTTTGTTTGCCATTCTATCCTGTCTTATACTCTATTAGCTCGACTCCTCAGAAGCAACCAGTTTCCTATATATCCTTTAGAAACTGTATCATGCTTTTGTAAGCATTTATGCGTATACTTTTTAAGAACACAGAAATTATCATGCCATACATAATATTCTGCACCTACCATTTTTTCCCTTTAACTATATATATTCGAGGTAATTTATTATCAGTATGTTAGAGCTGACATTCTTGATAAGGACTATTTAGAGCCAATATGCTAAATAGTAAAGCCATTTCAAATAATAATAATAATTCAGGGAAGGTTATGGCCATTAGTATACTATAATTCAGCATAGTTTTTGAGATTTTTTTTTTAGCTAATGTAATAATTTTTAGCTAATATGACAAATCACTGATAGAAATATTAGAACAGAAAATTTATCTTACAGGTCTGACTGTACTGAATTATTGAATATCTGTTAATATCTTTTTGAAAATCATTGGCTTTCACATTTTCCCAAGGTTCTGTGGGTCAGAGTTATACAGTTATTCTTTAAGAATGAAGTTCTTACCTTTTCGAAACAGATTACACAAGTGGTCTATCTGATAATGGAGTAAATATTGAATGTATCTTAGGAGGACATTAGTATAACCTTTGTGTTTAGTCTCATCAAATTAACAGTTGTGCCAGTGATTATATGGCTAAATAAAACATCCACTTTTCTGAAATCGGCACCATTGTAGAATAGTGGTTAAGTTACCATAATCATTATAAGATCTGACAACCTCATAATCATTGGTTAAGGGTCCTGCAGAGTGACATTTATGTGGAGAAATACTAGTAGTTCCTAGCATTTTGAAGAGTGAAAAACAAGATAATAAGAAATGGTGGCACAAAGGCAAAGAAAGACCTTTACTCCCTTTTTGTATAAATTAATCTGTCTTTAATTTCATAAGCATTTAGTATTAGCTTATTAAATTTTTTTCTTAAGAGACAGGGTCTCGCTCTGTCACCCAGGCTGGAGTAGAGTGGCACAATCATAGCTCCTTGAACTCCTGGGCTCAAGCAATCCTCCTGCCTCAACCTCCCGAGTCTCTTGGACTGCAGGTGTGTACCACCACACCTGGCTAATTTTTTAAAACTATTTTTTGTAGAGACAGATTCTTACCATGTCGCCCAGGGTGGTCTGAACTCCTAGCCCCAAGGGATCCTCCATCCTTGGGCTCCCAAAGTGCTGGGATTATGGGTGGGAGTCACTGAGCCTGGCCTCAATTTCTTAATATTAAAATATATCAAGATTTACTCCAGGTTTTACAGCAACCATTATACTCTCCCAAGCTTTAAACAGTTAAGGTTTTTGTGGAATTACCAATTTTTCAGTTGTTTAATTTATAAATGAGCTTAATATATGTTTTGAAAGGTTTACAACTCCAAACAGATAAATATTGTATACATTGGATATTGAAATAAGGTATCTAATTTGAGGAAGCAGTGTAAATTATGTGTGTGAATAGGTATAAAATTAGCCAATCTGGCAATCAGTTCATTAATGTGGTGTGAAATTTGATAGTAAGTGAAATTTATCAAAAAATCCTTTTTCTCCTTGCCCGAAAATTCTACTATATTAATAGTAAATACTTTGTAATTAGTATCGTATAATGTGACACTAATTAAAATTTATTAATGATTTTTTAAAACTTTAACTTGTGTTTTGTTTGAATTTCAGGTAATAACTCTTTCCAATACTTTGTATGTTATTTAGTATGCCACTTTTTGGAAGTGGTCACTGTCAATATCTTGTTATGGTTTGATGGCCTTGGAGATTTAAAACCGAGTAAAAGTGTAAGCAGCCTTTCTTATTTAGTTATGAGTTTTAAATCCACTTTTGTTCCAAATAGGAAAAGTTGAAAGTACATATACCATGAAATATGAATTATATTTAAAAACATCTCAACAGTTGACTTAAGGAAAACAGGCTGGCCAATTCTGTTCATGGAATTGTAACATAAAATTACATCAAATAGTTTCTGTTGAAGGTAATAGGTTTTTATACTTTATTAGATCTTTCCTTGCCAACTATTAATGTGAATACATCTGCTTTTAAAAAAAATTCAGTGAATTCCTAAAGAAAATAGAAAACATCTTCAAAATTTTTTTCTTTAAAATTTTCTGTTATTTATAATTTAATTCTTTAGTATCAATCATTTAGAATTCTTATAAGTTCTTTTACTGTATTCATATCTACTGTTCTAGTAATCTGTCATTCTCTTTAAAGAAAAAAGTATTCACTGTCCTCCTCAAATATTAACAAGTGTCTGAGTTTTTCAAAATAACCATCACACATGTCTATTCAATTGAGCTAGGTTTTTTTTCCCCAGCATGATTACTTAAGAATGTGACTTTGCTCTAAAGGTCTGGAACTTTCACTTAAGTTACTTTCAGAACCAGTGTGAGGCACATAAGAAAAATCAGTCTAGAAACAGTTTGCAGTTTGTCATTCACTTATTCTATATACTTGCACCCCTCATGACTTTCAGCCCTTTTCAAAAAGCAAATTCAGTTTTATAAGATGAGGATGTGACTTTGAGATCATCCAAAAGAATATTAATATGTCAGAAAGAGAGTCAAGAACATTTTGAACAATGTCAAATGTCATTGCTCTACAGCATTCCAAAATGACAGTTTAAAACATTATGGTATAAGAGTTCAGTATGATTGGCTAATTACTTTATGGTCATACCATATCTTTGATTTGTTAGACTTTTATGCTCTAAATCTTGTGATTAAGTAGACACTTTAAAAGGATTAATTACAAAGTCAGCATTTCCCTGGTTTTTTTCATGACTTCATCTGTAAAATGTAGAATGGGATTATTGTTTTGCCATGCATCTGAATTTAGGAGATGACTACTAGACAGTAATTATAATCTTTTTTTCTGTTATAAAATGAAAGTATATATATTCACAAAACCCCACATTTTGTCTAAATTCATTTTACTCTCACACGATATAATACATGTTAGGTTGCACTCTTATTTGCATTTATTAATTTATTCATTAAATCTATTTCTTTACTATCAGATTTCAAATGATTGAGGTGACTTAATTTAAGAGTTTGTTTTATGGGCCGGGCGCGGTGGCTCACGCCTATAATCCTAGCACTTTGGGAGGCCGAGACGGGAGGATTGCTTGAAGCCAGGAGTTCAAGACCAGCCTGAGCAAGAGTGAGACCCCGTCTCTACAAAAAATTAGAAGAATTAGCCGGGCGTGGTGGCACGCGCCTGTAGTCCCAGCGACTTGGGAGGCTGAGGCAGGAGGATTGCTTGAGCCCAGGAGTTTGAGGTTGCAGTGAGCTATGATCGCGCCGCTGCTATCTATGCACTCTAGCCTCGGCAAGTAAGACCCTGTCTCCAAAACAAACAAACAAACAAAAAAGAGCTCGCTTTATGTCCTTTTACTGATCAAATTGTTGGTCTTCCATATAGTTCCTTACAAAAATATGCAGTGTTCCATTTGGATTGAACATACAGTGTCTTGTCTTGATAATGAGGGTAATCGGCAGAAAGTATGAATTTTTGATTGACATTTTATCCCATTCTCGATACATACGAATTGTATGATCTTGGGCAAATTATTAGTTTTTCAGCCTCAGTTTCCTCATCTGAAAAAATGGGGACAAGTTTATAAATATTTTCAAAGCACCATGCACAATAGCATGTCAGGCATTTATTATAATAATGTTTGTTTTCTGTTCTTATTTTCATGTATTGCTGATTTAAGATTAAGTTAATAGAGTTAAAGAACTTTCTAAGCAGTCACCCTAAATAACACTTTAAGAATTATTTTAGGGTTAGTCTGTCATTTACTTTAGTAAATACTGTATTCTCTCCAGTGCCAGGAGGAATATTTGAGAAAGGAAGGAATGATTTGAACATTGTAAATAGCTAATTGAATAGTGTCTTAAGGACATATTTTTGATAACTGCACTTAATATCTCCATAAAAGTGGTTTTTATTTATCTTCAATCACAGGTATGGGAACCTTAAAGATAGATTTTGTTGGAGAGCTGAATGACAAAATGAAAGGTTTCTATAGAAGTAAATATACCACCCCTTCTGGAGAAGTGCGTTATGCTGCTGTAACACAGTTTGAGGTATGGGTTATTCTTCTCTAAAATATTATGATTCTTAAATTAGGCATTTTGGCAAAGCTCTGTTATTTGGGGTGATTATTTGAGGCTAGGCGCCATACACAGTTTTAGAATTTTTATTTTACATTCATCTATTGTCTCTATAGAATTAGGGGAATTAAAGGGTGCAGGTTGGGCAAATACATGTGTGTGTGTATGTGTGTGTGTGTGTGTGTGTGTGTGTGTGTGTGTGTGTGTGTGTGTGTGTAACAAAATTTCATTACCTGAATTGCTTTTATACTGTTTACCTTTCTTAATTAAAATCGTCGTCTTAGTATTTGACACCTGTAGCATTTCCTGCAGCATTATTAGCTGTTTTGTAACATTCCTTTGCTGCTTTGACATTTCCCTTGTTTATCTTACTGTAGTATCTGTGCTTTTCTTGATCTTTATTTCTCAAGTATTTGTAAGTTATGTAAGTTTTTTTAAATCTGCTAGTGGTACTTTTAAGTGTTAAATCTAATTAAATTTATTTCTGTGAATTTCAATACGGATAATAAAACAATTGATGATATCCATTCTTATGTTTCTACCCATATCCCTGTATTGTTTGTTTGGCCTAACCTGAAATTTTGAGTCTAGTTTACTACTAATTTGTTTTACCTGTTTATCTTGTCTTTCAAGAATTTTATGTTGCCTTCTGTTTTTTTGTTTTGTTTTGTTTTGTTTTGTTTTTTAAGACAGAGTCTCACTCTGTTGCCTGGGCTAGAGTGCCATGGCTTCAGCCTAGCTCACAGCAACCTCAAAGTGCTGGGCTCAAGCGGTCCTCCTGCCTCAGCCTCC